CCCAGAATTTTGAAGTAAAAGTACCAATAATTAACCAATACCTAAAAAATAACTGAAAAGTACAAATCTGCTACTGGGATTGTTTTTAACTTGTGTGTAAATGTGTTCTTAAACCTCCCTCCTCAGTAGATGTAAGTGTTACAGTGTGATGTGAAGGTCCATATTGCACACATTGTATGGCATACATCATATGGCAAATACATTTCAGTTATTTCTTAGATTACATTTGGTGGGTTTCCGCAGATTGTTCAATTTTAAGCCCTTCCCATTCCCTATCAAATGGTATAACTGCTTTTGTTACTGTTTTTGGTTCTTTGAGCTGAAAATAAAAAAAGCGCAAATAGTTGCTCTCCTACTTTACGCCAGGCCGAGCAAGCAAAAAGAAACAGTTAGTAAAAGAACCGTCAGACGAAGTTGTTTTGGAGAATAAACCAGAACCTCCAGTAGTAGATGTGTTAGGCTCGTCATTCGCTCAGCCAGCCACAACTACAAAGGAGTCCACTCCTGCAGGAGAAGTGCAGAGGCCCAGACGTTAATCTAGTTCTATTGAGCAATCGACAAATCAATCGATTAATTAGTAAACGTGGTCCTGCTTATGGTTCAGGTTCCTTTCAACCAAGGGAATTGAATTTTCAACATTTTTAACAGGAAAGCTCCTCAGCGCCTCAACCTCTAGATCGCGGGGAGGATAGTTAGTGTTGCGTCCGCACTATAAAGGCGACAACGCCGCACAGAGCCTCCAGCAGTGTCCGATCACTGCCAATCAATCGTTCTCATCGAACATTTAATTCATTGCATTATCATTAAAGTTTGTTCGATAATTTGAGAATAAAAGATTAAATCAAGTGCGGGAGTTAAATTCAAGGGGAACCAGCAATTATTTTGATACCTCTCTTGAGACTCCACCAGAGATTCTTGAGACAGACTCTGACAGTGGTGGGCAAGGCAATGCTTTGTTGCAAAATATGGAAGAGTTCGACTTTGTATTTGACCTGCTATTAGTCAGGAGAGTTTTAACACAATGTGAGATATTGTCAAATACCCTGCAGTCTAGCAGTGTGACTTTTTCACAAAGTTCTTCAATCGCTGCACAGAAATCGCTAACAAGTGCGGATTTAAAGAAGGGGAAACTTCCTTCAAATCCATTTAAATTCGGTAGAGCAGTACTTCAAAGTTTCACTAGCAAAATCGAAAACGTGCCGCCACTGGTAGCTCAGAAGTGAAAGCAAGGTCTAGTGGGCAAAGAGCAAACCCACCTTCTCGGGTTAGCAAAATGTGTCTTCCGCGCGAGCGAGGGTTCTGTCAGGGTGGGGGTTTTACAACCTTAGCCCTTCGTTGTGCGGGTTCCTTCCGCTCAGTTTAGTCCAGTTCGTCCTCGCGGC